GTTCTTTTGAAACATAGCCCTGACCACTTGTTTACATATGAGGTGGGCAAAAATAAGTTTACAGTTGTGAGTGTGCAAACCAAAGCTTATGGTATTACTTACTCATTTGTTACTGTATTTTCTATGCAGACGGCTGTAAACTTTTGCCTGCCCATGTCTTTGGTTGCTTTCTGACCACAGCAGCGCAGTGGAGTAGTTGTGACAAAGACAGGATGGCCTGTAGGCCTAAAATATTGACTGTTAGCTCTTTAAGGGGAAGTGTGCTGAGCCCTGACTTAGGAGAAAGGTGCCTGTTGGTTTGAGGGAACCACAATCAGAACAGAGAATGGGGGTGAGATGGCAAAGAACTGCATTCGTGTTGTCTTTGCCTGCACTTGGCTTATTGTTTCATGCCCAGTTGGTGTGGGTCAGAAATATTTTTGACCAGTGGGCTCATATTGTGAACTTGAGAAAAAGTTAGTTAGTAGGTCATATTAGCAACCCATAGTGCTTAAAAAGACCAGATACTTAGGTAATGAGATTGTGAGCAATAGTGTTATTTTTAATTTTATAAATATTATTTAAAGCTCTTCATTAGCTATTATGACTACAGGTTTTGTTTGTTTTCACTGTAGTATTTAGCACTTAGGATTTCATTGAAGCTTGAAAGTAGAATGTCAGGTGTAAAAATACATATATTTTTAGGGAACTTAAGACATTTTTAGCAACTTACTAGGATCATCAACAGAGGGCTTTTGTGAAATACTAGCTTTTAGTCTTTGTACCCTTTTCTTCTTACAGGGGATATGAAAGGCGAGGTCTATCCGTTTGGCATAGTTGGAATGGCCAACAAAGGGGATTGCCTGCAGAAAGGGGAGAGTGTCAAATTCCAATTGTGTGTCCTGGGCCAAAACGCACAGACTATGGCCTACAACATCACACCTCTGCGTAGGGCCACTGTGGAGTGTGTGAAAGATCAGGTAAGCGGTGTATCTCTGGGTCTGAATTCCAGCCTTTTATAAGTTGGTAATAAGCAGACAGTAACCAAAACCTGAGTTTTTTCAGCCCAGGTTGGAATTGTCAACCATTTACTTAGTTTTTATTTCCACTTTACCATTTTCTCAGTGATTTGAGGTGACTTATAAAAACATGAAGAGGCGCTGGCTGGTGTAGCTCAGTGGATTAAGCCCAGGCCTGCAAACCACACGATCATGGTTCCATTCCCAGTCAGGGCACATGCCTGGGTTGCAGGTCAGTTCCCAGTGGGGGACACATGAGAGGCAACCATACATTGATATTTCTCTCCTTTCCTTCCTCTTTAAAAATGAATTAAAATCTTTTAAAAATTACTATATATTTTTTAAAAACATGAAGAACATCAGTGATGTTGACAACTGACATTCCACGATGGGGCAAATAGTGAGATTTTCAGACTAGAAACACTGTAAAATTTTGTACATTTTAAACCTCAGAGTTGCTTCTATACACCACACAAAGAAAGAAACCGTGTGTAAGAGTGTTCATGAGACAAGCTTAAGGCAGTCAAAGCTATTCCTGGTACTTAGATCTCAAGAAAGTCCCTGTGAGTCCTCAGAACATTTTCTTTTTCTTTTCTCTTTTTTTAAAAATTTAATTCTTTATTTTTTTAAGATTTTATTTATATATCTTTAGAGGGGAAGGGAAGGAGAAAGGGAGAGAGGTATCAATGTATGATTACCTCTCATGTTTACTCTGCTGGGAACTGGCCTGCAACTCAGGTATGTGCCCTGACTGGGAATCGAACTGCGACTATCTGGTTCACAGGCCCAGGCTTAATCCACTGAGTTACACCAGCCAGGTCCATCAGCACATTTTCTTGATGTCAGTACTGTGAATACAGTATTTGTATGGCTATTTTTTATAATATCATAAACCACCTTAATAATTCCGGAAGGGATCAAAATCATGCATATGTTTATGTAACAGTTCCTTAATGATTTTATGTAATTCAAAAATTTAGTTCATATAGTAGATGAAGGCACCAGGTATCCTTTATTTGTTTCAGCCAGGCTTTTTTATTTTTTTATTTTTTTTTTATATTCCAGTTTGGTTTCATTAACTATGAAGTAGGAGATAGCAAGAAGCTCTTTTTCCATGTGAAAGAAGTTCAGGATGGCGTTGAGCTACAGGCTGGAGATGAGGTGGAATTCTCAGTGATTCTTAATCAGCGCACTGGCAAGTGCAGCGCGTGTAATGTTTGGCGGGTCTGGTGAGTTCCTGCTGTCGGATTGGTAGTGTCCCTGACCTGTCTCTTGTGATCTCTGCTTCACCGCATTTCTTCTCTTTTCCATGTGTTTTTTCATCCTCTTCTGCCACTCTGGTTATTGCTTGATATTTCCTATGTCTTTCACCTCTAGTCTTCATTGTGTAAACTCTTACTCTCATAAATCTGGCCTGGTGAAATATTAATTGGGCACTTGCTACATGATACATCCTAAATGTAAAAAGATTGTGTAGTCCTTGTTCTTAAAAGATTCTACTTATCTCTTTTTTTTTTTTTCTTTAATCCCCCCTCTCTAAGCCACTTCTAGGTTATGTGGTGCTTAAAAGTCTCGTTTTACAGTTTAGCAATTCTGGCTCTGTGCATTTTTTGGCTTTTTTTTTTTGATGAGGTGTTATAAAGACTTTATTGTTTTTGTTTTTGCTTTTTGGCTTTAAAAAAAAGTAGTAACATTGTTACTATGCAAGGAGCTGGCAGTCTCTGAAAATATTTCTTTGTGTTTAACTCTTCCAAGGTTTTTCACCCTCACTACCCTGTTTTATGTTGTCTGTGGGCCAATCTAGGGATGACCCTCGCCCAGATGATTCTTCCAGCTCCTGTGCAGTAGTCAGCCTCGAGTTGGGAGTAAAAACACAAAACTTGTCTGTCCTGTCTTGCTAGCTGGCTGGCTAAATGAGGCAAGAGTGCCCCCTCATTAAAACTGAGTCATTTGGATAGTTCTGTGGAAAACACGCTCCTGTGAGTACTTGCTTTCTTCCCACCGAGTGTTGCTGCTTCTCTTTTCTTGACTGTGTTACAGTGAGGGCCCCAAGGCCGTTGCAGCTCCACGGCCTGACAGGCTGGTCAATCGCTTGAAGAACATCACCCTGGACGATGCCAGTGCTCCTCGCCTAATGGTTCTTCGTCAGCCAAGGGGACCAGATAACTCAATGGTATGACGGCATACAAGGTTTCGGGGGCCGGGGGTAGCACTGACAGACCAGCATAATAAATACTTGAGGACCTAGTTCCACATATCTCAGAGAGCTTATTAATGAGGAACATCAAGTGTTGCTTTGTAACCAGTTGGGAGTCCCCACACATTGATGCAGCCCCCAGCAGAATGGTTGCTTACCTTTAAGAAGCACATTCCTTGGCTTTCATGATACTTTGAACAAAGTTTTAGGTAATAGATCAAGAGGGTTTACTTTAGATTTCCTCTGGGAAAGAATTGATAATGGTTAAGGCGATTAAAAGCAATGCTTTTGTAGTGTATTTTGGAATTGTGAATGGGCTGTGATTATCATACACTCAGGTCATTAACTGCAGTTTTACTTTTTCACAGGGATTTGGTGCAGAAAGAAAGATCCGTCAGGCTGGTGTCATTGACTAACCACATCCACAAAGCACATCATTAATCTGCTATGATCAAGCTGGGGGGATTCTGGTGAAGGGTCTGAATATCTCCCTCTTCATCCCTCCCCAAAATCTGGAATACTTATTCTGTTGAGCTATTACACCAATTTTAACACCTTCCTTGTGTTATGTTTAAAAAAAATAAATAAATTTAAGAAAACCATTTTAAAATTATGCACAGTTGCAGCCTGGAAAACTTAAGGTGGCGCCTTGTAGTATCAATTTTAGGAGCTTTATTTGGTGCATATAACGCAACTGGTAACTGCAAAATCCACTTTGCCCGTGTTAAGTGAAAAATAATAGACTGTTACCTTGTTGACCCTATGAAATTCTGCACTTGATATTTAGTATATACTCTACCTTCATTACTCTGGCAAGGTGTCCTGCCTTAGCACTCAGTTGCATTCTTTATCTTTTCTTCCTTGTTCATTATGCTTTAATTCTGAGGACCATATGAGGGTAGACTATATTAATTGCAAAAATTTGTATAGGCAAACCATTTCCTTAAGTTGATGGCCAAATGTTAAAGTGTTATTTTTCATATCATTTATAATCTTGTCACAGTCCACTTAATGAAAGTTTCGTTAGATTTCAATGAAAATTATCTTCCAGAGTAGTTTTTTTTTCCCCTGGGATGGGGTGGGGAGGGTAAATTTACTACAATTAGTATGTATGGTGCAGAATTTCATGCAAATGAGGTGTGCCAGGAGTGTGATAATTTAAACGTATTTAAACAAAGACGAATGCACAAATTCGCTGCTGCTTAGATCACTGCAGCTTCTAGGACCCAGTTTCTTTTACTGATTTAAAACAAAACAAAAAAAATAAAAAAGTTGTGCCTGAAATGAATCTTGTTTTTTTTTTTTTATAAGTAACCACCTGGTTCCTGTGTCCTGTAAAATACAGGCACTTGACCCTTGGTGTAGCTTCTATTCCACTTTATATCACGGAAATGGATTGGTCTGATTTCTTGGCCGTCATCTTTAATTGGCCACGTACAGGGTCCCTGGCCAGTGGACTGAAGGCTTTGTCTAAGATGACAAGGGTCAGCTCAGGGGATGTGGGGGAGGGCGCTTTTATCTTCCCCGTTGTCGTTTGAGGTTTTGATCTTCTCTGGGTAAAGAGGCCATTTATCTTTGTAAACACAAAACATTTTTGCTTTCTCCAGTTTTCTGTTATTGGCGAAAGAATGGAAGCGAATAAAGTTTTACTGATTTTTGAGACACCAGCACCGAGCGCTTTCATTATTGAAACGTCCGGAGCGGGAGGGGCGGGTCTGGGTGTGGCCAGCCACTTGCCTCCTGGTTTGGGGCCCACGTGGCTGGGGCGGGGACAGGGCGCCTGGGGCGCCGACTGATTACGTAGCGGGCGGGGCCGGAAGTGCCGCTCCCTGGTGGGGGCTGTTCATGGCGGTTCCGGGGTCTCCAACATTTTTCCGGGTGGTGGCTGTAAATCCGTTCGCAGCGGAGGCACCAGGGCTGGAGGTAAGGCTGTGGCGTGTGGCGTGTGTCGCATTGGGCTTTGGACCGTACAGGCGTCTAGTTGCCGGGAATCCAGCGGAATTTGCGAGCTGGAGACAAAGGCCCTGGGCGGGGGTCCTTGGGTTTGAGTCCAGCAAAGATCTTTGGAGACAGGCTGGGGAACCTGAAGAGGGGGCGGCCTGAAGGCAGCCCCCCAGAACTGAGAAGCTTGGCGGGAGGAGCAGGAAGGGGGGATTGCCTTTACCTTAGGCCGAGGGCGGGGCCCAAAGAGTGCTGAAAAATAGATGAGGGTGGCAGTAGCTAGAAGACTGTAATTAAGAATTCGGAGACCCGCAATAACTTGTGTGTTTGCATTCCCGAATCACTCTGAGAACCAAGTGAAGAGTCACATGTATGGAACAGACACGTTTCCAACTCTGGCTTTCCTTACTACTGATGTACTCTGAAGTACTGTAGTGGTGTCTCGCCAATTAACTGTAACTGCTGCTTTCCCACAGGTTCTTGCTGGTGTGAAATGACTGAGTACAAACTGGTGGTGGTTGGAGCAGGTGGTGTTGGGAAAAGCGCACTGACAATCCAGCTAATCCAGAACCACTTTGTAGATGAATATGACCCCACCATAGAGGTGAGGCCCGGGGGTAGTCTGCTGACCCTGCCCTTTCCGTCTCCCCTCACCCCTACCTTCTAGCTCGTCTTTAGCTGAGAGAAAGCGGAAAGTTATTTTGGGTAGTGCGTTCATTAATACAATAAATAAAGCAAGCTTTCCATGTTTGTGGAGAAGAGTTCATTTTTATGAGCTGCTGCTGATTTTCTAAAAAGTCCACAGTTTTTAACGGTTCTGTAAACTTGCAAAGTCAATGTTGAACTCATTTTTTTCTTCATATGTGACAGCTCTATTTTTAAAAAAATACACAGGCCATAGGTAGAGCAGCTGTCTGAATAACATACAAGGATGGAGATAAAGGATTCGGAGACTGGGGTGTTCTACAGTTATAATTTCTTAGCTTGGTGAAGCTGCAGAGACCGTGGGTTGGCGTAGAGAGAATGTGAGATCTTGAGTGGCTGTGCCTAGGATTTCAGTCCTGTTTGCAGGTTCTTTGGTTATGGGATAGTGAGTAAATCACTTAATCTCTCTGAGCCCTGTTTTTTCTCCATCTATTAAATTACTGTTAGGAAGCATGTCCAACCTCCCTTCACACAGGGATGATGTGAAAAATCAAATGTGTTTAAACTTTTTGTGAATGGTAAAACCCTGGATAAAAAGTACTTATTTAAAGATCCTGTTGTTTTCATGGGAGTTCATGTTACAGATTGGTGTCAGTGAATGGCAAAAACTGTTAAATAAAAGGCCTCGTCGTTTATTCAATTTAGAAATGTGTAACTATTTATTTGTTTTTTATTTTTAAAGAGAGAAACATCAATTTTTTGTTTTACTTATTTATGCATTCATTGGTTGAGTCTTGTATGTGCCCTGAGCAGGGATCAAACCCATAACCTTGGCATATCGGGGCTGTGCTCTGACCAACTGAGCTACCCAGCCAGGGCCTAAAAAGTGTAACTCTAGAGATTATTTTGTTTTAATCCACACCCTGGTCTTCTGACCGCCCAGCTACTGAGTGTTTAATGCAAGCTAACTCTAATATAGCCATTTTTAAAAATTATTCATTAGTTCTTTGCAAAAATTTTTTATTTCAGGCATAGCAGCTTTAGTATTAATAGTTAGAACCATTTAATCTTCTTCAGAGTTTTAGTTATATGGGTAATTTCCATATAGTAAAATACATAAACGATACATATGCAGCTTAGTGACTTTTTAAATTTGTATACACTTACGTAATAACCACCACTCAGATACTGTTTTCTCCTATGCCCAGAGAGTTTTCAAATGCCCTTTCCAGTCAGTAACTCCTTCACCCTGCTGGGAAATGACCACTTCTGACCTCTGTTCTAAAACAGCTTGACTAAAACCTACCTTTTCAATTTGTATTTTGCTCATCTCCTTAAGTAAGACACTTAACACTCTCTTAAGAAGTTTTGGTGGTGCGAGATCCGAGATCCGTTAGTTTAAAGGACAGCCCAAGAACTCACCAATCGATGGGCTGGGAAACTAGGCGAAATTCTATCTCTGGAGCCAGATCTTTTACTAAGTGTGACGAGGTGTTTTTGTTTTGTTAATTTGACTTGAATTCCCAGAACACAAGTGTTAAAATGTAAGTAAAATTTTTGCCTTCGAGCTAAATTGAAAATACTTTTTATATGATTGTCCATCTGTCTCTCTGAGGATTTATGTCTCTACCTTCTTTGTAACTTTTAGGAAATTGATGGAGGGATATTGCCCAAAGGTACAATCTGTGATGATGAGAAAAATATTTTGATATTATGACCTTCTCTGAAATAAAAAGTATTTGTATGTTTAATTGTAAACACAAGTGACACTGTAACCAGGAGCAGGTTATAAATAGTGGAGATATGTTTAGAATTTTAAATGTACAGTAAACACTCAAATATGAAAAGTTCAGTTCATACCTCAGTAAAATACACTGTGAGTAATCTCTAGTCCAGCTGCAATACAGCTGCCTTTTGAATTTCTACCTTTTTTTCATCTTTTCCAGGAACAGAGTGTTCACACTTTCCTTTCTGCAGGCGTACAGGATTGAGGGCTTTTTTCCTAGGAAGACGTTAATTACTTCCTGTTTGTGATTATATATTAGCAGTTTGAGGGACAAACCAGAGAGACAGAATAGACTTGAGTAGGAGCTTATTTAACCTTGGCGATACCATTGCGTTCCCTGTGGTTTTTAGTAAAAGTGGAATCTCCCTCTCACCCTCCCACGCCCTCCCCCCCAGGATTCTTACCGAAAACAGGTGGTTATAGATGGTGAAACCTGTCTGCTGGACATACTGGACACAGCTGGACAAGAGGAGTACAGTGCCATGCGAGACCAGTACATGAGGACAGGCGAAGGCTTCCTCTGTGTATTTGCCATCAATAATAGCAAGTCATTCGCAGATATTAACCTGTACAGGTACCAGGAGCATTACTTTTTTCTGAAAGGATGGTCTTTAAGTGTGTTCTGCGGCTTTGCCGGAGTGGGGCGGGGGGGTGCGATGCCACGCTGGGAAAGATACAGCTTTTTTTTAATTTCGAGAGGGGATAGTTTTAGGTTGTTTGTTGGACATTGAGAATCTGGGGTTATTACTGAGAGTTAATGCTGGAATTTCTTTTATGTAATGTCATATGGCTAGAATGTGTGATAGTTTATCAGTGAAGCTTGCTCTAGTGAGGGTGATTCAGAACTAGAGGGGTTATTAGGTCACAAAGGAATTTCAGAGGGGCAGACACGGGAGAGCCGTTCGTTCTTCAGTAGATCGTAGAGATGAAGATAAGAAGGAACAAATGGGGGGTTACATAAAGTGGGAAGAGCAACATTCTGATCTTACAGAATCAAAAACAGAGTCCAGAAGGTGCTTCATCAGGTGTTTGGAGACTTGACTATTGACTAGTAGCAGAGCCAGGACCAAAAATTCAGGGCTCCTTTTCTTAGCTCCGTGTGCTTTCAGCAGAAGACGAAACGGTTCAGAATACAGATGCCTGGGTCGAAACTTGGCTCCATCATCTGTTAGCCCTGGTACTTTGGGGCAGACTGCTAAATCTGTGTGTCTCAGTTTCCTCGTCCATAATTTGAAGATTATAGCACCTTCCAAGAGTTGTGAAAATTAAATGAATTAATGAATATGTAAATCGCTCAGAACAGTGCCCTCCACCTAGTGAAGCCTGTGCTAGTATTCGGCCGACAGCACTGGGTGCTGACTTATGCCCATCCAGGCTCCCAGAGTTCAAAACCGAATTCAGAGTGTGTGTGTTTGTCTCTCCTAAGCCTGCTGCACTTTGCAAGTACCTATTTTCTGGATTTCTAGAAGTAATTTTTTTTTTAGGCTTTTTAAAAATTTTCTTTTAGATTTTACTTATTTATTTTTAGAGAGTGAGAAAGGGAGGGAGAAAGAGAGGGAGAGAAACATCAATGTGTGGTTGCCTCTCACATGCCCCCCACTGGGGCCTGGCCCCAGGCACACACCCTGACTGGGAATCGAACCAAACCTTTGGTTTGCAGGCTGGCAGTCAGGCCACTGGGCCACACCAGCCAGAGCCAGGCTGTCTTCTAGTGTCCCTTAACATAGGTTACTGCCGTCATCCCCCAGTGTAGTGTGTTTCCGGCACGTGACTTTATATGGAATCTGTTCGGTAGAGTAGAAGGCAGCGCTGTGCAGTATTTGGTTATTTTATCTAATTAAAACTTTTTCAAAAGTGAAAAATTGGTTTCTTGGCCGTATCAGGCACTGACTTTTTCAGTGTTTAGTCGCGCCATGTGACTCGTGGGTGTCGTTGGACAGCAAGGACGCAGAACATCTCCATCGTTGTGAGAAGTTCCATTGGGCAGTCTTGGTCGAGGGCATCTGAGCATTATTTTCCCGGCTGCTCTGGGGTGCGTCTCAAATGTCACCAAAGCGGGTGCCGTCCCTGTTGAGAGTTCCAGGTCCTTCAGACCCCCTTTAGTAAGAGCAGTTCTGAGGTTTTTCTTTCGTATCTTGGACTCCCAACTCTAATTTTGTTTGAAGGAAACACGGGGACACCGCCTGCTGAGAGAGTAGATAAATACCGTCACTCTCAAGGGAAGCTCAAAAGGTCACTTTATTTTTTGTACTTTGGACCTTAATCTAGAGCAGGGGTGCCAAACTCATTTTCATCAGGGGCCACCTCAGCCTCACAGTTGCCTTCAAAGGGCTGAAATAATTTTAGGACTGTATAAATGTAACTATTCCTTAATTGTGAAGGGGTTGAAATTACATTCAGCCCTTTGAAGGCAACCACGAGGCCGATGTGGCCCCTGATGAAAATGAGTTTGGCACCTCTGATCTAGAGGGTGATTCAGCGTTGCCAGTTAGAGTCAGAGCCAAGTTCTTTGGAAAACCACGGAGCCTGACGGGGGGCATGTATCAAGGTGGATGAAGCATCCATCTCCACTAGAAGGTGAACTGGGACTTGGCATTCCTGTGGCTGCTGAATCAGTGTAGACCAGCCTTACTATGCATGCAAGGTCTTTCATAAGTAGTAGGAGGGAAAGTGCAACTCACTAGTAGATGTTAAGAGGACTAGATTAAATTTGCTAGATTCCTTTTTGCTCTGGCTGTTTATTCCTTCCAAAAAAGCTTATTCTTATAATATATTCCCCCTTTTAGAGAACAGATTAAGCGAGTCAAAGACTCCGATGATGTACCTATGGTGCTAGTGGGAAACAAGTGTGATTTGCCAACAAGAACAGTTGACACAAAACAAGCCCACGAACTGGCCAAGAGTTACGGGATCCCATTCATTGAAACCTCAGCCAAGACCAGACAGGTAGAGTACAGCTTCCAGCATCTGGCAAGTATTTGTTTCAAGGTTCAAGGCTGAGGAATCTGGCTGACTTTTCACTAGAGGTGTGATGCACATTCTTCATTGTTAGTAATAGTGTTCTTTTGTTGTTGTTTTTTTAGGATTTTATTTATTTTTAGAGAGAGAGGGAGAGAAGCATCCATGTGTGGTTGCCTCTCACTTGCCCCTTACTGGGGACCTGGCCCACAACTCAGGCAAGTGCCCTGACTGGGAATCAAACCAGCGACCCTTTGAGTCGCAGGCCAGCGCTCAGTCCACTGAGCCACACCAGCCAGGGCTGAGAGTGTTCTATTTTAATCTTTGGTTTGAACCGAAAGTGAACTTGTTCTCATTCTGCTGTGGAATTTTTACTCCCCCATTAGCATGCACAGCTATGACTAAATGAAGACCTTGATTAAAGATAAGCATTAGTCTTTTCTCTGTCAACCCCAGCCCCTGCGTAGGGTTTATGTTCTGTGGAACGGAATCGCTCAATCTGGTGGTTCTCTGTGCCCCACATCACCAATTTTCCTTTGCTTGGATGTTATTTTTGCAAAATGTGCCATTTGTATATCAGCCTGTTAATGTGATCCAAGAGGAATACTAAATTTAGTGTCCTCTTTCTAAACTACCCTATTTTTAAAGATGTTATTTCTTTTTAGAGAGAGGGGACGGGAGGGAGAGAGACGTTAATGTATGAGAGGTACGTCAATCCCTTGGCTCTTGCACACCCCCAGCTGGGGGCCTGGCCCGCAACCCAGGCACGTGCCCAGACTGGGAATGGAACTGGCAACCTTTCAGTTCAAGGGTCGGTGCTCTATCCATTGGACCAGACCAGCCAGGGCTAAACCACCTTATTTTGTCAGCTAACAATTTAATAATGGGAATTCTAAATCCACATAAAGAAGTGAGAGAGCTCTTACAACTTGGATTGTATCTGTTAGGCTGTCTTTATCATTTTCTTTCCTAGGGTGTCGAAGATGCCTTTTACACACTGGTGAGGGAAATACGCCAGTACCGAATGAAAAAACTCAGCAGCAGTGATGACGGGACCCAGGGTTGCATGGGGCTGCCCTGTGTGGTGATGTAACACGGTGAGCACGTGGTCTCCTGGCATAAATCAAGCCATGCGGAGGAGCATTGTTTTGCTGTTATCTTTTGTGTTGTTATTTGCCTGAGGATTTCTGCCCACTTACAACTATGAAATGTTTTCCTTTGGGTGCCTTTCCTGCGAGTACTGAGTTCTAAACTATTTTTAGAACATTTAATTACTTTACAGACATGGTTACATTTTCAGTAATATTAGACATAAGACATTGAGAAACCGTGTGAATACCACACTCTTGGCACCGACCAAGAGTTTGAAGAAGCACGACATCCACACTAGGTGCTCCTGACACAGTGTGTCTTTTTTCTCGTAGATACTTTAAAGTTCTAGCATCAGAGGAGAGCCATTGTCAAGGTAGGACAAGTTTGGAAGTGAAGAATAGATTATCATTCATGTTGATGGCTTCAGCTTGTTTCTCACACTCTTGAAGTGACACTTACACACACTTTCCATCTCCTTTCAGCTGCACTGACACCCTGGTCCCGACTTCCCTGGAGGAGAGAGAAGTATTCCTGTTGCTGTCTTCAGCCTCACGGAGAAGCCCCTGCCACTTCCCCAACTCTCAGTAGATCAGTACATCATTCTCTGTTTGAGAAGTTCTCAGAATAACTACCTCCTCACTTGGTTGTCTGACCGGAGAAATGAACCTTTTGTTACTACTCCCCAATATTTCTCCACTCTGGGTTCTTCCCAGGTACACCTCTGCCCCCCAGGTTTCTCATCTGATAAGCAGTTCACACTCTGAAACAGAACCAAGCTGTAGACGTTAAATTCTTTAGAAAACAATGTCTCAAGCTCTAATGTAGCAACTGCTGGAGAATTTTTTTCTTTTTACTGTTGAACTTGGAACTATATTGGTTTTTGGAGAAATGTCATAACTGTTTTGCTGAGAATATAGTTAATGTTGGTGTTTGGTTGTCTGTAACATTATCAGCTATATCTGTGAGCTGGCATCTGCTCTGTATTCGTCAGTGCAAAGGTGACTACAGACCTTTGAGTCTATCCTAGTCTTCTTGACTTTCATGCAGTGAAATCTGACTTTCACAATGAAGTGCCTTTTTCCTAGGAGTGGGTTGTGAACTCCCTTTACAACACTGCAGTGGAATGGATGTCTTGAAAACCGTTGTACACAACGGTGAATGTCTGAGGTATGAGTAGGGCTTGTCTACCTTTAAGAGAAAGATAATACATATCATTCTTTAAGGGAATGATAACAGATTCCATTTCTTACATTTGTGAAGTATGCTTTCCGGAGACCTGTTTTTAGGTTCTCCCAAGAGAAAGATGAAACTGGAAACAAGTATAAATAACTTCACTTAATTTTTACCTGTGCTCCACCTTTTTTTTTCTTTTTTCTTTTTGGAAGGTTACTACCTATCAGATGTAATTTGTTTTTTCTAGCTTACTGGTAATCTAATGTTCAGTGAACTTCCATTCGTATTTAAATTTGGGGTATATCAGAAAGCTCTACATTTGCAGGTGTGCAACATTGTAAAAATTTGATGCAGTTTCGATATTGTGGTCAGTGGTTTTCCACATTTTCAATGCATATTCTGGTTCTGGTATCTTAATGATGTATGTGTCCATAATTGCCCTTAGTCCCTCACCCACTGCAGTTTGATTACTTCACCCAAGTAAAGCATGGTGCTAAATGGACCGGGTCACCGTTTTGGAACTTGAGTGAGCCAGTTAGCATCACGGAGGGAGGTGTCTTCCCCATCTGCTCATTGCACCAGCAACCCCAGCTGGTAGCTTTGCCAGGTGTGGGCTGTTAGTCCTGCACAGAAGGAAGAGGCCAATTCACACAAGTCCTCCATCGTAACTGGGGAAGCTTGGTGTCATGAGGAGGACCAGCCTAGTGGTCTTTATAAATAATCTACACTCTCTTCAGCCCCATGGAAACTGAACGATGCCAATATTTTTTTCTTGTGTTTTTAAGGATGAGGGTACCTCAATTTTTTTTTAATCCCCACCAGAGAAGATTTATTGATTTTTAGGAAAAGTGAGGAAGAGAATAACGTCCATTGGGCACTTCCTGTACATCGAACTCGCAGTTTTCTGGTGCGTAGGGTGATGCTCCAACCACCTGAACCTTCTGGCCAGGGCTCAGATCAGTTTTTTTCTAAATTTTCTTTATTCAAGATGTTCTTGAAAGGTTTTAAAACAAAATGTTGAATAATTAGTCTGTGCATAAAAGATAATAAATGGAAATGCTGGGTTTGTTCAGAACAAGAAGCCGCCTTTGGATTAGAATTGCTGTTTGAGAAAGGCATGGAGACGGTGAATTGTTAGTTATGAGGATTTGGAGGCTTGACTTTTCCACATGCAAATAATATCCTGGTAATTCTAATGAAACAGACAACTTGATAAAACCTGGCCCAAAACGACCGCTTGCTGTCCTGGCCTGTTAGTATGTAAATGCTTGCCAGGGTCGTCCACCTTCTAACACGGATTTTCATGTACTGAGCACGCCCCACATTGCCTCTGCATGAACACAGATGAGGGGGAGGCGTCCGGGCTGCCAGGCGGAGAGCGGTGATCGCAGGGCTGTGGGCGGGTCTCCGCTGCTCGTGTCCCTGCTGCGTCCTGTCCCGTCTGTCGGGAGTATCACTCTTCCCAAGGCTGGATTGAAGCTTGTCATCTCAGTTGTCATCCTCGTGGTCTCCCGCATTTTCTTCTTGTCCATGTGACTGACAGTGTGATTTTTTCTGATGTCCAATTAGGGGGAAAGATGACTGATTTGGGGCCCTGTGCCCACTGCCCGAGTGTGAGTGTACCCGATGGTTTCTTCGGGTGTGTTGCGAGCACAGGCGTGTCTAAAGGGGCCAAAATTCAGACTCGAAAGTGTTCTTTTAATAGCGTCTTAAGCAGTTACATTTAGGTGTGAATTGTGGTGCATTGGAGTGGTAGCGTTAGAGCGGCATGCCGAATCGCTTCAGCCAGTGCGGTGCAAAAGGTGGTGTCCAGAGTGTGTTTGCAGTTGCTGAAAGTAATTCTGGTTTACCTCAAAATCCAAAAGTCTCTCTCCCCAAATCAAGTGCCTGGCCAGCTATCTTATAAACTACACGTCACTTTGGTTGTTTGTTTTTTAAAGGTTGTGTGTTCGAGAGTGCAAAGACGATGTTCTGTCTGAAGGCTGCTGTGCCTGGTCTGTTAAGTGCTGTACCTGCTCCCACCAGTGTGCTGTCGAATGTTACTTGGTGATGCGCTTTAGGAGTGTAATGGGTAAAATTATTCTCAATGTACATTCGAGTGGGGCCCACGTGTAGTTGTTCAGCATCCTTTAAACTGCTGTGAATTTTTTATCTTGACTTGAAAGCAAGAATAGAGAAACACTTTAAAGAGATACTCCCCCCCCATTCCAGAATTGGTGAGTGTGATCATCCTCTGCTGTACATTTACAGTCCTGAGCTCTTCTACGCAGGCAGCTACAACCAAGAACCAAAACGTGGTGCACTCAGCTTCTTGTAATTCATCTCTGCTAATAAATTGCAAGAAACAAGGGTAATTGAGTAGGGAAAATATTTTATTTGGGTAGTTTCCACAAATGAGGGACTGTAACTCCTCATACATTATTTCTCGTCTTGGCGGTGTGCCACGAAATTATTTTAAAGTGTTTCGTGTAAGAATTGTTTGAAAAGTGTTCTTATTATCAGAGTAGTTGTAGATATATTTCAAATATAACTGGCGATTTTTAAAAGCCTGAGTACTGACCTAAGAAGCAGTTGTGTGAATTCTGCCCTGGAGGGAGGGGACGATCTCAGCAGATGGTGTGTGACCTTCACGGGGCTGTGCCGTCACACGGGCAAAAAGGCCGGTGGACTGTGGGTTCTGCTGTTGAAACGGGAACCATCGGCCGCTTGGCCCTACATGGGAGGGCTGGGATTCCAGGTTGCCTATTGTATTGTAAGTTAATTCACCCTAATTTTTAAAATTGTGCTTGAATGTTTTTCTTTTTAAATGTTTAAACAATAAAAACTGGAAGTTCTTGGCTTGGTTATAATTTTTTTCCGCCGAAGTGCCTTCATTGAAAATATTCCAGACTTTGGGATGTAAGTTTTGGGCGGTGTCAGGAGACCTGAGTTCCTCTTTTTATCTCAGCATAAAATGTGTCAAAGCCTGCTTTACATGATTACTTGGAGATGATTCATTGCCCTGATTCATAGCTGCATCATGTTCTCTAATATTAATATGAAGTGATTGGAGCTGCCACTGGAAGTCCACCCCGCCCCCCCCTGCCCCTGCCCCCCGGTCTTTACGTTATTACATTGTACTCTGCCAGTCTGGGTACCGTTGGAAGAGCTTCGGTCTAGGAGCTAGAGGACATGGGTCCCAACTATAATTTTCTACTCCAGCCCCTGGTTTCCTCACTTGTAGAACAGGGAAGTTGAATTCAGATATATCAGTTTTCCCAACCCTGATTAATGAGACATGTTTTTAAAAGAATGCTTTCAAACTGAGGCTTCTCCACCTAACACTGGAAGACTGATTATCAGCACCTGGGTTTATTCTACTAAGATGGCAATTTTTTTTTCCTTTTTCTTAAAAAGGGGATAGGGAGGGGGATCATTAATATTTGGCTGAATGAAGCTTAAACAAAATGTAAGTGACAAATACTGTTTCTATATGGGGCTACCAGAAAGAGCATAAATACTTCAGATTGTAAAATGCATATGAAAAAAATCATGGACTTTGGGTATCTAAAACAGATTTCCCTCTGAAATCAGTCACCTGTGCTTTATATCAGATATTTTATCCTGCTAATATTTAACCCCTTCAATATCTGAGGAAGGGGAAATGTTCTTTTTTCTGATGATAGCTGCTATTCTGCTCGGCACAATGAAGCTGCAGCGAGACAATGAGAAAGTAGCTCAAGAAGCTTTGTTTAGTTGGAATACAAGGGAACTGCCTCTGTGTGCTATTAATACTGGTTTCTGATCTCATCACAAGCCTTCCTGAAGGTCATTAACAGGCCAACACAGTTGCATAAGTTATTTGATATCCAAGAGGCCACGCTAGAGATCATTTTGCAGAGCTGCTCAAGAGACATCCAGAGACTGTCCAGCTGCATGACTTGAGAACACAGAGAATGTCCAGTATCCAAATGGCAAAGGTATGGTGGTGGTGCTTTAAAAATAACTCTGGGCGAGGAAATGTGGTCCCATGCCTTAACAAGAGAAAACTGGGACTCTAGGAGCGTGCAAAATGCAGATAGCAAATAGCCCGTGCAGTGCCAAAAGGAACACAGAAGTTTCTGATTCGAGAGCTGGAAGTAGACGTGAACTGGTCATTCTTACCTAAAGGCTTTTTAGACTCAGGACTTCACACTGGCACCAAAAGGGCTTATCTAGTAACCTACCGGAGGGCGGGGGGGCATGCTGTTTTAAAACTTAGAGGAATGATCTTAGTCTCTCCTTAAAACTGGTGTAAATACAGATCACCACCAGTTTGCAGGAGGCATATAAAGAGAGCACCTGCTACACTGGGGGTTCATATCAACTGTTTCTAAAGATAGAGGCAGCTCCGTGCCCCATGGGAGGACACGGTTGGAACGGAGCAGTTGCCTCCCAGAGCTTTCAGATGCGGGAGCTGGAAATAGCACCCAGGTTAGGAGAAGCGATCTAGAATGGCCGCTGCAGGCGTGGTGAAATCGGCACCAGTGGCACATTCCGCAGGAGCTGGGGAATGCGTGAATGATGTGTGAGACTCGGGCCTGAAAGAGAACAAGCACTTTGTTTGAAAACATCATTACTGTAAATTCACATTTACAGCTGGATCCCAACATCCCTGATATGAATGGCTTTTTTTTTTTAATCAGTGGAATGAAGCTGAAAGATATTTTGAAAGTTACGATCAAGAAATGTCAGTTTATGCTCATTTCATAAATCTGAGGAGTTTGACATTTAACATGAAAGTCCAAAGTGAAACCAGCAGAGCATATGAACGGCATCAGCAAGGCCTGCTGCTGCTGTGACACCGTGAGGTGTCCCACCATGATCCCACCGGGTCCCACTGTGAGGCATAGCCGCATGCCCTAGCAAAATGTATCTGTTTCGTCACCTGGTGAATTTTCCTTCTGACTTTCCTTCCCCATTCAGTTAGCAGGTTGTTATTAAGCGCCTACTGCATGCCTACACAGGGTGCTGCTGAGGACATACAGCAGTGAATCAGATAGACTGCAGTTTCCTATTCATCTTTTATATTCAGCAGAGGAGAAATCTCCAAGATGGGATTTTTAAGTTGTGATCTGGTGGTTGTTTCAAAGGAGAGGGACGCTGTTTACTCTGAGACATAACACGGTCCTACCCCAGTGTTCCCGCTGCCACCCTCTTGACACTGCCCAGGGTTGCCCCCCTCCCAATTTTTCTGAGGTTACTCATGCCTCGTTGCATAAATAGACTCATGTCATATTTGAACCCAGGTCTCCTGACCAGATCCTGTGCTATTTGCTTCCCTGGTTTTCACACCAAGCTGCTTAAGGCCGCTGGAGAGTCGGGGCGAGGTGTTTGAGAAAGTCTGAGTAGATGAGGCTCTGCTCTCCCCCCTCCTCGCCACCCCCTCGCCTGCAGCAGTCCCGCTTTCGCCAATGAGTTTCTAGTCAAGATTTTATCGGAAGATTTCTTAAGTTAGACTTTAAATGCCACTTGACTTCAACCAGCTCCTACAACATCTGTCAAGCTGGGAATCACCGTATCGCCTCCTGTCTAGTCCAGAACCCACCGGCCCCAGGCCCACTCATGGCCAGCGCACCACCAACACCACAGTGAGGCCGAGCGAGGCCCAGCAGGACCAGGGCCCCGGGCGGAGAGCCCACCTCTATCTACCACTTAGCATCTGTTGTCCCCGCATTTCCTCGACTGTAAAATGGAGATAATAGTCCCTCAATTTCTATAACAATAGTTCCTCAAAAAAATACTATTGCGAAAATCACATACTTAAAAAAAAAACAACCTTGGAAGAGTGCCCAGCATTGTTGTAAAGACATGGGCCCCACAGCTTGCCTCCCTCTCTACCCACAGAGCTTGGAGTTTAAATTGTTTTGTTCAAAGCAAATTGCTGAATTTCAGTTCCATTCAAAAGACAGGAAATAAAGTCAGTGTGTCTCATGGAAAAAAGATGAGTCTTATAAATTTGACATCTTTATTTTTAGGTGTGCTTGGGAATAATTACTGGCAGGAAAATAGAGCTGAATCCAGAAAAATACCATAAAATTCCACAGGTTTAGTCGTACTCGAACTTTAAACTCATTCCTCAGGTATAAGATAGACTGTTACACACCTCTAACAGGGTGGGGAAAAAAGTCTGTAGTTGCTGCTGGCAAAAGAGATGGATTCCCAAACCAGAAGTTGTAATGAATTGGACTGCCTCCCACTGCGGCCATGTAACAGAAGTTCATCCTGAAAGTGTGGCGACCAGGAGTCCCATAGAACCCCGAGTGACAGGGCACTGAGCGGGTGGGGACAGCCAGGGTTCACAGCAGGGAGGAAGACGTCCTGTGGCCGAACAGAAGGGCTTTCTGGGTAAAAGAAGGCAGACGGCATCAGGCACAGCTTGTTTCTGTCGAGGGTCATCTTCCCATAGAGCCTCAGGTTACGGAATCTCTTCCTTGGTAAAATACAAGAAATCTCTCCTTTAAAAAGTACATTTCCAAGCCCTGGCTGGTGTAGCTCAGTGGATTGAGTGCAGGCCTGCAAATCACACGATCGCGGTTCGATTCCCAGTCAGGGCACACGCCTAGGTTGCAGGCCAGTTCCCAGCAGGGGACTCATGAGAGGCAACCATACATTGATATTTCTCTCCTTCTCTCCTTCCCTTCCTCTCTAAAGATAAATAAATAAAATATTTTTTTAAAAAGCACGTTTCTCACTTGAAACCTATATAATTTTATCAAACAATGTCACCCCAATAAATTCAAATAAAATTTTTTCGAAAGCACATTTGTACATTTGTTATTTAGAACTCTGAATGTTCCATTGGAATAACATTCTAAATGATGGTTAGGTTAGCTCCAAAGAATGTAGTCTGTCATACAGCTAAAATAGTCACACTAACAATTTTTTAAAGATTTTATTTATTTATTTATTTATTTATTTAGAGCGAGGAGAAGGGAGAGAGAATGAGAGGAAAACACCGATGTGTGGTTGCCTCTTGCACGCCACCTACTGGGGACCTGGGCCACAACCCAGGCATGTGCCCTGGCTGGGAATCGAACCAGTAACTCACTGGTTTGCAGGCCAGCACTCAATCCATTGAGCCACACCAGCCAGGGCACTTTAACAATTTTTAAAAGGCACAGAAAATAATACCTTTTTTTTTGCTAAAAAGTAGAATTGAATTTGGTTTGTGTTATATCCTGATGCTTAAAGCAAAGCAGCTCAATTACAAAAGGATGACTAGGCAGATACTTGTCCCGCTGAAGGAAATTCCTGGGCGATCTTCCTGAAGGGCTGGAATTTGTTTTGCTTTAAATTCAGGTTTTGTTTTGTTTTTGTTTTTTCTTACAATAGAAATAATACTTGTTTGTGGTAGAAAATTCAAATAAACCAAAAGAAAAAAAATCACCGTCATCCCATACCTAGACAGAACAGTGGTATAAGTTGCCTAGCCTGTTTTTATTGTTTGTTGTGGTAGATGAACTAAATGCCTTTCCCTTTTTTAACACGATCATATCATGTATACATCTTTACAATAGGCTTTTTCATTTAATAAAATCGTTGAATGTTTTCCTTGTTAAAATGTATTCATCTACTTCACATTATGGCTGTATCACACTTGAATCAATCTTCTATTACAGATATGTCGTCTCTTCCTACTTTATTATTTATTTTTTGGCTGCTGTCGTGGTTTGGTGACAATGTTCTTGAAATACATCTCTGAGCACTTGTATAATAATTTCCTTCAGAAGAAGTCAGGAAAATTGACTTGTATGGGTGGATATGCAAATTTTTGATGTTTTTGACAACTATATTGCCAAATTTCTTTCCAGAAAGGC